AAATAATATGATTATGCAACACTAAAGCAAAGTAAGGATGATGTTAGATGTAATTTAAACCTCAGCCTTACCAGTGTGAACTGACTCTAGAATTTAATATTATTATTAAATCATTTATTGAGTTAAATTATTGTTCAACACATCTTATTCTTGTTTTAAATTTCATGTTTGAGACATTTTTGGAACATTTTCACTAAACTGTATTGATGATTTAAGCTTAGAAGTAGGAGCTGTGCACCTAATAAAACGGACAAAAAGCTGCAGTTATGTGTGGTATCGGTAAGTATCCTCAAACTGCAGGAAGTTTAATCAGGAAGTCTAATAAATGTAAAGAGGAAGTCTCACACATTATATGATAAAGGTGTCACATATGAACTTGGTGCAGTTTGGACAGATGTTTTACCTTCATGTGTTTATGATGTGTCAACAGCTTCACAGAAAATAGGTTGACATTGTAACAACCTGGGGTTGCACCAAATTTTAGTTAATTGTTTTCACTTGTTTTCCACCTCCGATTAATTACTGATGATTCAGATCACCTGCATATAGCCGCAGTGACTCACCTTAAGAACCGCCCACGCACAGTGTGTGCGTTCATTTGCTCACTGACAGAGTCCGAGTGAGCAACAAGCTTCCTAATACCTACGTTACAAAGTTCCGTAACGAAGCGTTTAATCCCTCGGAGGACAACTTCTTTCAATCCTGGAGTTTATGGTTATAAACTGCTGAAGCCGAACCAAACAAAGTTAAAAGACTGCTGGATACGACGCCGGAGAATTCCGACCCGTCAAGTCGTTCCCCAAGGCAGAAAAACCACCGCGCATATTAATGACGCAATACTTGTTGTTGACAACAAATTAAACCTCAAAACTTAAAACACACCAGCCATCCTAAAACACACTCATCTTAAAAACTCCTGGAAGTGGAGTTTTTTTATGGGAGTGTTTTTTTTTTATTGTGGGAGTGCTTGTTTTTTCCCCCTCATTGAATCATATAAGTTTCATCTTAACACCCATCAATCCTTGTGCTTGTGGATCCAAGCCAAGCCTACCCTTTTTTTGTTTTGTTTTTGCTTTGCCAAGCCAAGCCAAACTTCGTGCATGTGGAGCCAAGCCGAAATTGAACTCTAAACTACAGTGGTTTTTACACCACATATGGACACTGGGAGGAAAAGGGAATATTATTTGTTTGGTATTATTTTGTATTATATAATTTTTGATTGTAAATAATATATTTAAAGAAAACTGTATTTCATTTTGTCTCTGCTCACTTCCTTTTATTTAAAATATTTGTGTCACTGATTATTTAATTTTAGCTGAAAAGGGTGTGTATTTATATCTTTATGTATACTTTACATGTCCTTGTGTGTTCGGTAAACCAATACAACTCTAAACCATATATATAATCAGGGTTGCACATAAAATTTTTGGTCTGGTTCTCAGGGGAGAACCTAGGGTTGTTGTTTGGTGCTCATATTTTCCTTCACTAATTTAACACATTTATCTTTAGGGGCGTCAGGGCATCTAACGTCCCCCTGTTCTGTTTTATGACTCCTATCAGCTGCAACATCTCAGGACATCATGCCAAATCAGTCCAACAAGTTTTTATTTTATTCTTTTACTCTGCATTAATTTTGTAAGAGTTAGAGTGGCTGGGTGTATGTCATATAAACATGACAAACTGAACATCTCATGGTTAAATGTCTTTTAGACTAACATGTCCCTCAGATGGACAGCTCCTGTTTGGTCTTCACTTTGGCCTTGGTTAAACCAGCTTTCCACACTCGCCAGTCCAAGCAGCAAATATCTGTCTTTTGCACAGAGCAAAATAACGTAAAATATGCAAATGTTTTATTTGTTCGACTGTTTTATTTTTTAAAAGACTATTTTATTCAAAAATATTATATTATTTAGATGGTTTCAGCTCATGTAATTATTTATTCTTTGTATTTGATCGTTTAATAAATTACATTTATCCCAGAAAAGCTGTATCACAGTATGGTCCTAAATATAAAAAACTTTAGCACATCAAGAACCTTGTTTTTTATGTAAAATTGTGAATGAAATTTGTGGCTCTTTATGATAAATTAAAATAATTAAAATCATTCATCTAGAGAACATGGCATGTTGTTTTTATTTATTTTTTTTAATATTTTTTTTTTGATGGGGGTGTTAAACAGAGAATCATCTTTGCTTTAATATGGGGCAAACAAATGTTCTGTTAGTTATCCATCCATCCATTTTCTGTAGACGCTTCTTCCTTTTCAGGGTTGCATGGGTCACTGGTGCCCATATCCAGCAGTCACAATGCGAGGGGCGGGGTACACCCTGGACAGGTCGCAAGTCCATCACAGGGCCATACATAGAGACAAACGAGACAAACAACCATTCACTCTCTCACTCACACCTAGGGACAATTTAGAGTTACCAATTAACCTAACAGTCATGTTTTTGGTCTGTGGGAGGAAGCCAGAGTACCCGGAGAGAACCCACGCACGCACGGAGAGGACATGCAAACTCTACCCAGAAAGGTCCCCGGACCGGGATTTGAACTGGTGACCTTCTTCCTGAGAGGCATCAGCTCTACCAACTGAGCCACCGTGCCGCCATGTTCTGTTAGTTAATATGGTTTAATTAGAAGAACTCAGTTAATCTCACAGACAGACTCAGCCTGCTCGTGCAGTGACGTGCTCCTGTCACAGCAGTCTCTCATCATGAGGAGAGTTTAGTCACTCAGAGTTGGACAGATCTGTTTGATAACAACATTCTGAACACTTATTTAATATAAAGTTAGGTTTTACAGACTAAAGCCTCTGGTAGTTCAGGAGCAAAGCACAGGAAGAGCGGAGGAGGGAGATGTGACTGATTGCTGCAGCAGCTCGAGTCGAGCCGGTCCCACTGCTTCAACCAAACTTGCTCTTACTGAAAGTCCCGCCCTGCTATGCCCTGATTGGATAAAAAGGCTCTGGACTTCGTCTGATTTATTGAAGGCAGGGTCCATTTAATCCTTATATCAGAGTCACGCTGTGGCGCACTGAACATTCACACCAGTGTGGCTGGATTCTTTTTTTTTATTTTTTTTAAAGAAATCAGGTCGCGTTTGCGACCAAACTGGTCTCACTCTAGAGCCCTGCTAGCTGTTGTTTTGACAGACAATCAGGTACAATCTTAGGTACGCAAGGGAGCTTTATGACATTCCATCTGGTGCGCTTTTTCCTTTTTTTGACCGCGCATGCGTACCTGCGCACTGCTTATATGCAACTCTGTCTGTAATAACAGTTAAAACCCATAAACTACCGGTAGTAAAAACATCCTACATGTCAGGAGGGAGAACTGACTGGCACCCAACTTAATTATTCAAATAAATAGCAATAAAATCATCAATCAACCGGAACCGTCACAACATGAGACTGTTGTGTTTTAAATATCTGACCATGATAATAACTCTGTTTTTACCTGAGCTGCCATACAAAGTGAGTTTTTTTTTCTCCCCTGCAGCACATTGTGAAGTGTCATGGCAGTACGCTGCTGCCCCAGTTTCTGGGAATGTACCGGGTGAGCGTGGACAACGAGGAGACCTACCTGATTGTTATGAGGAACATGTTCAGCCACAGACTGGTGGTCCACAGGAAATATGACCTGAAAGTAAGGAGGAACTCTACTACTGACTTCAGTCCACTAGTTCTGACAGTAATTAAGATGTTCCACAGATACTTGTTTTATTTTTTTATTTTTTTAGAACCTGAAATCAAATGTTTTCTAAACCTTTTAAACTATAAAACAAGTTCAACAGAGCAGGACTTTCTTCTTTTCTCTTCTTTTTGAGAAGCCTAAAATGCTAGGAAAGTATTGATTATATGACTATTTTCTGATGTTACTTGAACTCAGACATTCTGCTTTGGTCTGTGTGATCATATGACAACAGGGTGCCATTCAGCCACTGCTCAAAACCTTTTTTGGGCGATAAATACAAAAATCTGCCAAAAATAGAAAAAAAAATTTTTTTATTAATCTAAATTTTGTATACTTTACCAATCATATAGCTGTGGTTTAGCTGTCCTTAGTGGTATTTCAGCGGTCCTTTAGCTGACATTTAGCAGTCTTTTAACAGTCTTTTGTTGGATCTTTAGCAGATTTGCAGAGGTCATGTAGCAGTTCTTTAGCAGTCTTTTTTAGTGATTTAACGGTCTTTTAGAGGTCCTTTTAGTAATCCTTCAGTGATCTTTTAGCCATCCTTTTAGCCATTCTTTAGTCGTCTTTCAGCTGTCTTTCAGACATTAAACAGAAACTAAACCACAGTTTACCTTGTTTGTTGCGCTAGCGCCGAGCTAATACATATAAGGCAATATAACGTGGGCGCTAGCACAAAGGCTAACAGACTAAGCTGATGTTCTTCCATGAAACAGCTCTGTTGTCCTCCATCCACATTTTCAGTTGTAGACTGAGTCGTTCTGCTTCTCCTCTCTGTCAACCCTCTCTGGTTTCATTTAAAAGAGTCGATCATCAGATATTGTCCAGATATTGTCTTCAGGGTGGATATAGCTCGCTCACACAGAGGACCTATCCACGTCATCATTTACCCAGAATGCTTTGTGTGTAAATAAAATGGCTCTGTCAGTGTTTAAATTTATATTTTAATAATTATAAAAACTAAACAGCCTACAGTATTTTTACAGTCTTTATTTTACAGTTAAAATATATGTTTATCAAATAAAGTCTAATGTTACAACTAATCAGGGATCCCTTTTGAACAATCGCCTGAGTCCTTTGTTGGCAAAATTGAGTTACGGGATTATTTTAGAAAGTTGCTGCTATAATGGACTGCTTTGACTGATGATCAAAAAGCTGTTGGTTAGTTAACTCAGGAATATCACAAGCTAGATGTTGCATTGGCAAATATGTTTATTCAAACTATAAAAAACTAATAAACTAAACTAAAACTAAGCATTAAAAATGCAATAACTAATAAAAACTAGCAAATCCACTGTAAAAACTAAGTAAAACTAACTGAATTAAAAGGAAAAAAAGTCACAATGAAATAAAACTATAATGAAAATTGCAAAACTATTATAACCTTGATAGACAGCTTATAAACCAAGTCTCTGTTACCACAGTGATTCAGCTGAGCTTAGACTGACACTTTGTGACTCTGAAACCAACATTCAGCTCAGCATAACTCTGAAAATGTTTGGTTCAGTGCTCTTTGTTCTTCCAGGGTTCTCTGGTGGATCGTGAAGCAAGCGACAAAGAGAGGGTAAAAGAAATGTCACCCGAGACACATTACTGCTGTTATCTGTCACCTCTGATGTTTTACTGAAGAGCTCTGGTTCCTTCCAAAGGAAAAAGAGCTGCCAACCTTTAAGGACATGGACTTCAGGAATAACATGCAGAGGGTTTATGTAACTGAGGAGCAGAAGGAGAAGTTCATGGAGAAACTCAACAGAGATGTGGAGGTGAGGGTGGTCTTTATAAAGCTGAAGCTCTGGAGTCTGTTGTTCTTTTGGCCACACAGGAGCAGCACCAGCACACACACACTGACCTTATGTTCAGAGGCACTTATTGGATTGATGCATCAGTTAATTAGGTCTTAGCTTTAATAAAACTGAATTATTAGTTGAAAAATTCAAGTTAGTTTCTACAGACATCCATTAAAAAATTAAATATTGAAAAAAGTGCAGTTTAGTTTCTAAAGAGCCGATCTCTTTAGACTGTTCATCTGATGTCATCTAACAAACCAGAGCATCAAACCTGTGACTGATTTATCCTAAACATCAAAGGAAGGTGTCAAAGCTTCACCTTTCAGAGGCTTAAATCTCATTTAGTTTAAAACCCTGTTTTTATTTTCAGTGGTCTCTGTCCTTGTAGAATGCTCTTATCCTCTCTCCCTCAGTTTCTCGTGAAGTTGAAGATCATGGACTACAGCCTCCTGCTTGGTATCCACGACGTCAGTCGGGCCGAGCGCGAGGAAGAGGACGGCGGGGAGGTGTTGGAGGAGGAGGAGCCAGAGGCAGAGAACGGTCTGGCGCCGGKCCCTGCGGTGGGCTCTTATGGCACCTCTCCTGAAGGAATCGCTGGCTACATGTCGAGCTGTAAGCCTCTGGGACCCGGAGAGTTCGATCCATACGTGGATGTGTACGCACTGAAGAGCTGCCCAGGTAAACAACAAAAAAAATAAAACAGGAAGGTTCATCTTTAACTGTTGAACTGTTGCAGTAACTTCCAGCTCTACCCGCTTCACCTGGGGCCTCATGTACAAAGACTCGCGTGGATTTCTTACTGAAACGTGATGTACGGTCAAATCCATAAAACGGTGTACGCACAAAAAAATCCAGATGTACCAAACCTTGTGTACGCCTGAATCCAGGCACATTTCTTTGGTACATCACAATTAACGTGGAACTGAGTGCAGGTGAGACACCTTCCCTGACACGCCTTCATTARCATATGTTAAACAGATGCAAATTACTTCCTGCATGTGTGAAGGACACGTTTGAGTGATCCCTGCGCGATCGGAAATGACTTCTAATGTCATAAAAATAATGAATTTAATATAATGTGAGTGTGAAAAAAAATCCGAAGTAAAAATAGGAGTAAAATACGTTTATCATGCAAAGAACGAGTACCGGTAATTGTGTGTCTGTGTGTGCGCGTAAAGCTGTTGTGGTGCGCAAACGGCTCATCCATTCTGAGTCTGAAAATATTAACTTTGCGCACGAGTTTCTTACCATAATTACTATAAACACAGAGGAACTTAAATGTTTGGTAGAACATAGATCTTAGTTTATTTCATAGCTGATATGAAGAAACGAGTCTCTGTGTCTCAGTAGAGAGTTCACATGACGTGATGTTGGAGAGTCCCCTCAAACTTAATTAGAGCCACACTTTGTAATGATCACTGTCAGAGATTTAATTTCACTTCATCAGACTTAGATTTTTATTCAACTTTATCATCAGCTTTCTTAACAGTAATATTTATGCTTCTGCTGCTGAGCCATGAGGACCTTTGAAATAAAAAAAAACTTAAATCTTAAATAAAAGTTCCCGTGCGCAACTCCCTTCATCTGCTTCCTCCTCAGGCAACCCTGACCCACAGACCCCTCCCTGACCCACAGACCCCTCCCCGACAAGGACAGCAGGACAGCAAAAGTCACGCTTTGGATACACGCGCAGGGCGCATCCACCTCGCCAGTGTGGATGTTATAAAACTTCACGTTTAAAGTCAGTATTTGTCACGAGCGCGCGGGGCGGGGGTGTCTGCCGCGGATAACAGAGCAGGCAGGAGGGGGAGAGGACGAGCAGGAGGGGTGGACTTACTTTTAATTTTATCTGACATTTAATTTAATTTTTATTGTTTTATCGTCCTGCAGGCTTTGTGACAAAATTAATTTGAGGCTGAGATTTTTATAAAAATCGTTAGATTACTCTAAAGCAAAATGAGTGAAAATCTGTGTCAATTACAGACATTCTGTTCACGTGAGCAGCTGTCAGTCAGCTCCTGTCATCCTCCAGACGCACGACGGAGCGTGTCTGAACCAATCGCTTTTGTTGGCATTGATCAGCTGACTGATTTAAATACATCTTAACATTCATGAGGTACTTTGCATTGACTGTTTATGGTTGAATGTGAGCGTGTAGAGGGTAGAACCTGAGGCGGGACCTCGTGCGCAAACTCTGACGTGCAGCTGTGATTTATAAAGGAAAGATAAGCAGAAACACGTGTACGCACTGTTTTATAAACCTGAATATTTTTTGGCGTACGCCATTTCCGCCTTTTGGTCGTACGTTCACTTTTAGTATGGTTTCCACGCAATCCTTTATAAATGAGACCCCTGGTTCCTATTTCTGAGTGGTTTGTTCTGCAGTAACTGCAGATGGGCAATAATGGTTTGACCTGAGTTTGATTGTTAGTAAAGTACCTCATGAACCACTTAATGGGTTTTAATGAAACTCTCTAAACAGGGGCGGTTCTAGGGGCGGGGCCACAGGGACGTTGGCCCCAGCTGAAATCTGATTAGCCCCCTGAAGTGCCCCTGTCCTGTCACTCATCTGTCCTTTACCTAAGTGTTGATGGCGKGTGCAGTTTCATGCTCAAACACTGGAGGCGCTAATGAGTCAAATAGGAAAGTCTGCCATGAACTAAGCTAACAGCTGTTCTCTTATTAAAGATTTGAACAATCCTGTAGGAAAAGTCTTTCCACTAACAAACAATAGCTGGATTTTCTTACATGCTGTATGTTTGAGAGTATTTGGTTTATGTACAGTAAAAATGCTTTTAACCTTGTAAGGAGAATTTACATGTAAGATTTTTAAATTACATTACAAGTGTTTGAACGTGTGACTGATTAAATGTATGCATCTTACCAAAATCAGAGATTTGTGTACAAAAATGTTAAATAAATACTTGGCCTCTCTAATGGCCCTTTGTTCAGATAAATCCTAGATCTACCACTCTCTCAAAAATAATTATTAGATTTATTTCTACAACTGAATAAGCTTTGATGACCACAGCTCAATAACATGAAACTGTGTATAAATATTAATTTTACAGCCGTTGAGCTAAAATCTGGTGTGGTTGTAGCTGAGACTCAGGTTTCATGTTTAAACTTAGCTTTTGAAGTCACTTCTGTCTGCTTATCGATGTATTTCATTGTTCATGGGACAGATTTTAATATAACTTGTTGAAATTAGTCACTGTATATCTTTTATTTAATTTTATTTACCACTATTTAACCAGGTAATTCCCAGTGAGATCATAGATCTCTGTTGCAAAGATGGCCTGGGCCTTAAGGCAACCTATTGTACATATTTTTGTACAAAAGGTTGAGCCTTTAGACCCAGTCCAGTTCAAGATGGCTGCCTCAGAAACATGTTTTCTATGCAGCTCCTCAGTCTGTACCATAAAAATTTTATTTAGATAATAATTCTGTAATAATGGGGTATTAATTATTCAGCTGGTCTTTTCCCATAAGATGCTTTAATATTCTTGGCACCATTCTAACAGTTACAAATGTCTGCAGTGATTTTAGAAGCACATGGTTATATTGAGTCAATAAGAACAACCTGCTTCAGAGTTGGGACAGGCAGAAAAACATGAAGTATTCCAACAAATACAACTGATATTATACTGTACATACTCGTCTGTCACACAGGCTTTTCATTTAGGCTGATTCTTTTAACAGTAAATATAAATAAAATTATAATAATATAAGTAAAATATAAAGACCAGTTTGCTGTTTTCTGCGTGTAACGTCATGTTGTGTGTGATGATCAGAGGTGTGTTTTATATGGTTTCTCCACTCCTGGCTTGCTGTTTTTTTACACCTGGTTGATGTTTAGTGCTAACGTTAGCTTCTGACAACAAGTTGTCTGAGGCAAAACAAAAGAAACTAAAGAATCATCAACATTACCAGCTGAGTATTCAGAGACTTAAAGATAACCGAGACCATGACAACTTTTGTTTGTGAAGGTTTAGGTTCAGGTACAACATAAACGTCTGACTGATCTGTTCTCCTCACRATGTATACATGTGTGAAAGACGGCATCCTAACAAAAACACTTAGTTTTGTTACCACTATTGTAATTTTTACACAATGTCTTAATGAACTCTACAGATGAATGTTGTAGTTTAGCACTTGTGATTCCTTTCTAATTTAAACACCTCTGAGACTTGACAGTTTTGTTTGCAGTTCAAGTTTAAATGGTCTAATTTACAAGTTTGTCTTCAAAACCTGTTTATGAAGAAGAGAAATAATGCAGTAAATTTGTGTTTAACACAGTGGAATGATTTTCATTATTTACGAGCAKACTGAATCAAATTGTGATTAATGGATTCAGAACCTTGTGAATGGGAGTTGAATGGATTTCTGGAATAGGTCTTGGTTTGTTGAAGACCCTGGATGTGTTTGTGCACTGATCAGGAGCCCCTCAGAGGGAGGTTTACTTCATGGGCCTGATAGACGTCCTGACGCAGTACGACACCAAGAAGAAAGCCGCTCACGCTGCCAAAACAGTCAAACACGGGGTGAGCAGCACTGAAACACACGATGAGCTTAATAACAGAGACGTTTCCTGATCTTTTTATGTTCTGTCTGTTTTACAGGCTGGTGCTGAAATATCCACAGTTCACCCGGAGCAATATGCCAAACGCTTCCGTGACTTCATCTCAAACATTTTTGCATAACTTTTAACAAACGCTGCCAGGAGTCATTCCACCGGAGAGGCTTTGACCGTAGAACACCACTACACACACAGGGATTATTATTATTATGATTATGATTATTATTATTTCAGCTGGCGAGGAGGCGGGGCTAACTGTAGCAGTAAACTTCAGCTCATATTTATTTTTAAGATTGAAACTATATTTCTATAGGTATTCAGCACACAGACAGAGGGAACTGAAGCAACGGTGTATCTGGAAACAAACTGCTTGTGATCAGTGTTGACTTTAAATCATGTCAGTGAATCAGAATTTATCATGTTTTTTTTTTTATCTTTCTTGCACACGTTTATTTTTATTTTTTTCTCAGGATGGTCCAGACGTAACAAACCTGAGTTTAGGTTTAAACTGATCAGTTTTCACATGAATCGTTCCAGCTCACTTCATCACAACATATTTCTGTAAAAATAATAGAAATAGAAGCATAAGTCAGTGTATTACTCTTTACTGTGCTTTTTCCTTTAAGTAGATGATGTAATGTTTATGTGATGTTTGGCTGGTGGTGGGTAAAGATACCGATTTTCAGTTCTTGTACAGCTCTGACCTGCCAACTTTAACTTCTACCTAAAAACTCTAAAAACAGAATATTTATAGAAAACATTCCTCAGGCTTGTTTTGTTCAGAGATATTAAATATGGATTAAACTGCTGCTCAACACAATGTTTATAAAAACATTTAGTGATATTTATGCAGATGGCTGCAGAAACATTACGCTTTTAGTTGTAAAGAATGTTGGGACACTAAAGTTAAAAAAATAACCGAATGCACTCAATTTACCGGTAAGTTAATTTTTCCTGTTGAACAGCCTGATTACAGAATAAATAAAGTCATAATTAAATTTTCAGTTTCTCCAAAGCTGCTGAGCTGCTTTTATTTCCATCCCTGGAAATATAGAAATTATAGCCTCCAGATTATTACAATTATTAAATTATTACAGATCTGCTTTATCAAACAGATTCTACTTGTTTTTTATTTTTCGAATCTATGCACGCATCAAAACAAACATCACATGAAATCGTTTTTCCTAAAAGATCTCCATTTAAAATCCTTAGCAGCTTTGCTTAAAGTCATTATTTGGAAGAAACTGAACTGTTATTTAGAATAAAATGAAGAATTATTATAATTTCAGAGCCTTTTRCTGTGAATGATCATTAATGAGGGATGAAATGTCTCCAGTAAAGTAAATATTTAAATAAAACACATTGATCAGCGCAAAAAACACCTGCCTGGATAGAGATAATGAAGCTGCTCCGTTACCCTTAARTGTCCGAAATTAAAGAGAAAATGTCCAGATTTTGGGGACGATTCTGTTCTGTAGAGACGAGCCAGACCACAAATACAACCCCACTTTGTGGCTTCAGCTTCAGGCTGCTGCTCCAGTCTCTAGTTCAGTTATATGTTAATGACTTCAGCTCAGCTGTGGTGCATTCACTGATTGGTAAAATATAGGATTTTTGAGCGTTTGACCTTCGGATTGTTTGAATAAGGAGCTGAAAACCAGACTGTCAGTTCCACGGTGCGTCACCAGTGGGGTGTGGCTGGAGCAAAAATCTTCATTTTATCACAGTTAAAAAAAGACTTCATCCTGTTTTAAAACTTTCAAACTAAAGATCTTTTTAAGAAGTTCATTTCAGGTGGATTTAGTTCAGATCAGAGTCGGGTGGTTTCCACATCTCCAGTCTTTGTGATCAGATAATCATTTATTCAACAGGCTTGTTCTGCTGACACTAAATATAAATGTGGAGAGCAGCTTCCTCTGAGCAGAATGTGCCTCACATTCATTAGTCTGCTGTGACAGGTTGAATCAAACACCTGCTGGTTGAACATTTGTGGTCTGTGTGCACTCAGACTCATTCTGATACAATTTATGATATATTAGTTGAACTTAGCAAATGTAGCATAAAGCTAGCTAGCATTAGGAGGACGAGGAGCGTGTTAAACTTTATTAACGTTCAGCAGGTGAGAGAATACTGACMGGGAAGTGTTGATGCTTTCTGTATGATGCCTCATCCTTGTTCTAGTTTTTCAAATCAACTTTTGGACCAAAATATATTTTACAAACCTTTTCTGGAACTTGTTTGACTTGTTTTCTGTAATGTGTGCGTGAGCAGACCTGAGGACTGGTGTGTCAGTGTTTCACTCTCTACAATCCTTTTTTCCYCACTACATTTGTCCTAAAAATACCTCAGCTTTATAGAAACTGTCGTTTCATGAGGCCCTGAGATTAAACCTGGGTGATTTTATATTTTTCATGTGTGAAGTCAATATTTACTCACTTAGAGCCCCCCAGGGGTCCAGGGTGGAAACACATCTGGAGGTTGTAGAATTCAGTCCCTCGGTTTAGTGTTCAGTAACACTGATGTGCTTTTAGTTTGAACCGGAGTGACTTCTGTTAATGATGGAGGTTAGAGATCGTCCACAASTGAAACAATCAGGCTGCAGTTTTTAAAAACATCAAAATAATTCTGTTTTCACCAACAATTATTTCAATGTCAAAAACTGAGAAACATGTTGGGGAAAAACCATCTCATTCTGCTTCCTGCGCTTCTGTCTTCTGACTTTATTTTTGTGAAAGTTTATAAAAAATTCTCACAGATTATTTTTCAGTATTTCTCATTCCACAATTTTTATGCCACTTTTACGAATTTCTATATCAAAACGTTCAGTGCTTTCAGGACATTCCAATTTTTCAAAGCTTTTCAATTTTGCTGATTTTAGCATTTTTCAGGTTTTGACCTTTTTCTGCTGATTTAATTTTTTTTATTGTTTCAGCTGTTTTCTGCTCATTTCAGCTGTTTTCTGAATTTTAGCTATTCTTTAGCTTACGATCTTTTTCAGCTAAATTCACTTTGTGATCCTTTCGGCTTCTGCTGTTTAATTAAGCCAATATCTGCTCATTCTATTTTTCTTATAGCAATTTAAGCTAGTTTCAGCTTTTTTAGCATTAAGCATCATTGATCTACACTCACCAGCCACTTTATTAGGTACACCTGTCCAACTGCTCGTTAACACTTGATTTCTAATCAGCCAATCAC